CACACACCCACACACACACCCACACACCCACACACCCACGCACCCACGCACGCACACACGCACGCACGCACGCACGCACGCACGCACGCACGCACGCACGCAGGCAGGCAGGCAGGCACGCACGCACGCACGCACGCACGCACAGGCACACACACACAGACACACACTTTTTTTGGCATTTTCACCTACCCAGTACAGCGCTTCGTGGCCCCAAGGGGAGTCATCGACGGCCCCAATACTACCGCTCGCATGCGGTCCCCCCCACCCAGATCAGCGCTTCGGGGCCCCATAGCTTCACCGAAGAAGATATTCAAAATTGTGGTACCCACAACTGCACATGGTTGGGTCCTTCGCCAGGATAGTTTTTTACCGAGGTGGCCCACGTGCGAACGGTTCCCCGCGGGCTTTCATTGGCGATGGTCGCCCGAGCTGCCGGAGGAAATGAGGCTCGACGGGGCCGGAACCTCCTGCTGCTGTCGCGGTTGATGCGCGATGGTGGCCTCCAGCCAAGACAAGATCTTGACTGGCCTGCTGACTGAAGTGCCCGCCGCGCGCCGTGCCTGGTCGGTCTGCCCGGTGCTCCTGGCGTTGTGCCTGGTGCGCTTGGTCGGTGTGCCTTGTGTGTCGTGTCGGTGTGCCTGGCGTGCCTGGTCGGTCTGCTTCGCGTGCGTGGTCGGTGTGCCTGGCGTGCCTGGTCGGTCTGCTTCGCGTGCCTGGTCGGTGTGCCTGGCGTGCCTGGTGGGTGAGCTTGGTGTGCTCGGTCGGTGTGCTTTGTGTGCCTGTTCAGTGTGCCTGGCGTGCCTGGTCGGCTTGCCAGTTGTCCCTCGTGTGCCTTATGGGTGTGCTTGGTGTGCCTGTTGGTGTCCCTGATGTGCTTAGTCGGTGCTCCTGATAGGCCTGGTCGGTAGTTCCTGGCGTGCATGATCGACACGTAGGCCGTATGCTGTGTGCGCCTGCTTTGCTTGGTCATCATCACAATCCATCACCATCGCCGTCATCCAGTTCGCCATTACCATCGTCGCCCATCATACCATCACAGTAATCCATCTCGACATGTTTCATCATCCATAATACCATCATCGTCAGTGCGCTCCAGGCCTCGCCACCGAGCTTCATCACGATCATCATCATCGTCATCGTCATCGTCATCGGCATCGTCATCGTCATCGTCATCGTCATCATCATCATCATCATCATCATCATCATCATCATATCGTTTCATCACCACCACCCATCTCATCATCACTATCATCTGTTCCATCTTCACTCTTATCCACCCCACTGTCATCACCACCACCGCCATCATCATCACAATCATCCGTATCATCATCGTGCATTTTCGAGGGCGCCCAAGTATTTAGACCTGCGCGAGTGCAAGTCTGAGAAACTGCCCGCGCAAAATGATCGTCGGACATCGTTGCGCATCGTACCCGGTCCATGCGGCTCGACCACCCCGCCGCCTTGGTGGACCCAGGCTCTTTCGGAGACGCTGGCGTCCTACCCATATCCCATATCCCAAAGGGGACCCCCGCAGATCCGACTACGGTCAGGAGTTTTGGGTTAGCGTGTCGTTCCGCCAGCTCTGGCCCACCACGCTTCGGCGCGACACGGCATCCACGTCGCGATCCCCAGGCGTCAAAGTCCCGAACTTTCCCGAGCCCCCCGGCCCGCGGAGCGGAACGACTAGCTATCCGCTCGCAGGGAATAGCGTGTCACTGGGGCCGCCGCGAGACACGCTAAGCAAAATCTCCAACCTTTTCCCAAGGGCTCGCTTTCCGCCCCGAACTGTGTCTGTTGACGGCCCCGACTGCCCCGCAAGTGTCCTCCCAGAGGCCGCAAGCGAAGAACCTCCGTGCAGCGTCTGTCAATACATTCAGGGGCCCCCAAACAGCGTGGTGACTACACCGCGTGGTGAGTCGGCGGGGATCCAGGGTCACCGCGCGTTTTTGGGATTCGGGTCGTTCTCCGAGGGCGTCTGGGGTTTCAGGTCTCAAAACCGTGCGGTGACGGACCGCGTGGTGAGGTTGCTTGGGATTCCGAGGTCGCCACGCGGTCCGTCACCTCACGGCTTTGAGGCCTGAAGATACGATGGGGGCCTGGCAGGACATCTGGCACCCAGTGGGCCCGGTCTGGTCGGGTCTGGCAGTCGCTCGGCCTCGTGCGAGCGGTTTGCGAGCGAGCATCGGCGCCACCTTTAACATCATCGAGGCGTTCCAGAAAGGGCCTCACCTTTTCGAGGATCGAAGGAGTTGTCATCTCTTCCTCGGCGGAAGGCGGCGGAAGGTCGGCGGAAGGCGGCCCATGTAAAACGAGGCTATCTCCGCTGGCGGAAGACCGGCGGAAGCCAGCGGAAGTAAACAATGACCCCCCAGTTGCTGGCATCATTCTGTTCAGGGCGTCCTGGAGCGGCCAAGTGTACCATGTGTGCGTGGGCCTGGCAAGGGCGACGCGCAAGTTCAGAAATCTTGCAGAAAGAGCTCCGTGGCGGGCGCTTTCTGACCATACCGCTCGGGAAACGATATACTACAAGGTGCTCGTGCTACATGTAGTCGTCGGACCTGCGCCACCGATGTCAGCACATAGTATCAGTAATTATGTCCTTGAGCGTCCCCGAGCAGGCGGGAGGAGGCCTGAGCCCAGAGCGTCAGACTACTCCACCTTCACTGATGGTTACCAGGCCGATCGCGGGTCCACGACGGGTGCATATGCCCTCCCCGCCAAGCCTGGAGGGCATATGCACCGTGACCTTGGGAGGCCGTCAGTCGGCTTGGGGCGGATCAGTAGCTGGGACGGCTGCGGGATGCTGTAGGTTTCCGGAGGTCCGCGTGGATCGGCGCTGGACACGACGACGTCCTTGTTTTCATCCGCCCCCTCTGCTCCGAACCTGCAATCCTTGACACAATTAGCTTCGAAAGTGGCTGACGCCCCCCCTCCACTGTCGCCCCTATTCGCCCCCTCAATGTCGCCCCCCTTCAATGCCGAAGCGGAACGACACGCGGTCTGAACGGGTGTGATTTGGCAGTTCCGCAATGACCGACGTTGGAGAGGAGGCCAAGAAGTACTTGGCACCCAACGGTTACCAGCTTGAAACATATCCCGATCCCTTTGTTTGGCACCACCTTACCTCGGTGCCGATTTTGAGGATTCCCTTAGCTTCTGAGGGCGCAACCCTGAGATTGTCATGGCCTTTGGTTTGCCGACCTGCAGGGATAGAGATAAGTTCGATGCTGGTTCAATGCCGCCAAAAAACGACAAGGCACAGGGGCCCGAGACGGGCCACATCCACCGCCTCCTGCAGCCCTGGGACATCGGGTCCCAGGCGGTGGACATGCACAACTGCTCGGCCTCGCAGGAGGTTGCACTTCTGAGCGTGCCTGCGAATTCTGCCAGCCCTGGCGTACCCTCGTCGTCACGGCTGAGTTCCCTTTGAAATCCTTTGCCATCTACCGAGCCACCCGAACCCCACCCGAAGGTCCCAGGCCCCTCCAATTTCCTGGTTAGGGGTTGTACGGGCTCCATGGTGTTTCCGCAAATGTTGGGGAAAGCCCCACACCGCAGATTGACGAGCCCAACGCCGACTTCGGGTTGGCTTGGGGTGGTTTGGTGGGTGGTCAGTTCTGGTCCGATCGCATCCCAAGGAGAGGTCCGGACGAAAGGGGAGGATTGGGAAAGGGGGGGGTACGAAATCTGCTGTATGCAGCTGGTTTCGGCCCCACCGCGGGGCCCATTCCTCGACACGTAGCCGCCTCCGGCGCCGGGAGGCGCCAGGAACATCGGCCACGTGTGCTGATTCTCAGACCCCCCCTCTGCTATCCCCCCCTTTCGCCCGGCCCGAAAGGAGAGGTTCGCGGGCCTGGCCGCCCTCCTACGTGGGGGGGGCGTCCTCCTACGAGCGGCGGGCGCCCCCCTGCGTGGGGGGGGGGCGTGGCGCCCTCCTGCGTGGGGGGGGGGCGTCCCGACGAGGCCCCCCGACGGGCCGTCGGGCCCCGGGGCCCCGAGGCCGGCGGCGCGCCCGCGGCCTGCCCGAGGCGGCTGCTGCCCCCAGGTCTCTCGGGTCCGATCTTTGCAGTCCCGGCTGCTGTGCTCGGTCTGTCGCAGGCCCAGGGGTCGGCACCGGCACCGGGATCGGAGGTGTGCCTCCAGCGAGGGAAGAAGGTTCCGATCTCGTTGATGGTCGTACTGCTCTGGCTTCCAAGGTGGCCGAAGTGTTGCCACCAACCCCGAAATCTGGGATCGTCTTTGCCCTGTGGATGCAACCCCCTGTGTTGGTGTTGGTGCCCATGTCCAGGCCTCCAAGTTTGGGCCCCTGGCCTCAGATCGGTGCTGCACTTTTGTTCCCGCTGGGCGTTTCCGCCGGGCTTCGGTCCCCGGCCGGGGCCCTCACAGCTCGACCTGGCTCGAAAAATGGCGCAGAAAGATGGGGTCCAGGGGGGTGGTCGTGATCGTTGGCGGCGTTGCAATTTTCTTCGCAACGTCGGGTCTCAGGGTGGTCAGGGGCGGCCAGGAGGGGGTGATGACTGAGGGAGGGTGGGTATCATGACCATGGCCATAACATGTCTCCGGGCTTCATGGCCCTCTCTTCTTATTTCATCACGTCTCCCGGCTCCCCCGTCATCCGCGCACAAGCCTCGGGCCATGATTTGCGCCCCCCCCCCTCCTTGGACGCCCCCTCTTGGACGCCCCCGAAGTCTGGGGACCATCATCGGGCCCCAGGGCCATCAATAATGGATCGGGGACGAGAAACTGCCCTCAGCACCGAATAAGCACGTCGTCGGATGTCGGGGTCTGATGGATGGGGGAGGGGTAGACGGGAGGCCATGGGGATGGGTTGCCAGGGGGATGGGGGGAGGAGATGGAGGAAGGTGATGCTGAGGGGGGGACGAAGAAGAGGAGGAGGAGGAGGAGGAGGAGGAGGGGGCGGAGGAAGACGAGTAAGAGGAGGGTACGCACATACAAAGCTATCGACGGTCAGACAACTGCGCCAAACGTCCACATAAGAGGTACGTCGTAGCCGAGACGGACGACCAGGAGCGCGGCCAGCTCTTCGCGGAGGTGCGGCGGCGGCTGCTGGACGCCCTGGGGGAGTCGGAGGCTGGAGAGTCCATATCGGGGGCTGCGGCGGGGGCGGAATCCAGGGATCTCCTGGTCTCGAATAAGCCACACCATCCCTCGCTCTCCGCCGACCTGTTCTGTTCGATCTCGCCGCTCTTCCTCGAGTCTGGCCTCCGGGGCCCGCCATCGGGCCCCGGAGGCCGGCAGGGATGGAGCAACGCTGCCCCCGGAGAAGGGGTCGCGAGGATGTATAGGGCCTCCGAGAGCAGCAGCACAGATTTTCAGAGCCCCGAATCATCAGGGGTAACTCGGGTCAGGGATAACTCGGGTTCGTTTTTCGGGAATCCAAACCCGAGTTACCCCGGACCCGAGTTACCCCGGATAACTCGGGCGCCCAAGATTTGCTAGTGTGGGCCCCAGGCAGTCGGGCCGTGAACCCTGGCTGTGCAGCCCGTGTGTTGCAGGCTGTGTGGGGCGTTCCAGGGAGGGCCGCGCCTCCGGGATCTGGAGGTCGACATCTCTTCCTCGGCGGAGGGCCAGTGGAGGGCCAGTGGAGAGCGGCGGAAGCAGACGGGCAGCGGGTCCGCCAGCGGATGCGGGCAGGATGCAGGCGGGCCGGCGGAAGGCGGCCAGCGGAAGGAGAATCGGGGCTCAAGAGACGGGGGTCAAGGCAACCGGGGGTTGGTCAGAGCGCCGGAGCTTGCATGATCCCGCAGAGCCAGGGGTGCACTGACCCGGGCTTGCGTGCAGGAGCCTGCAGGAGCATGCAGGATCTTGCAGGATCCTGCAGAGCCCGGCCGACCTCGGTCTGGATGGACCCGGGTCAGTCGATCCCCGAGAGAAGAAGTGTCAGTTTGAGAAGCTATGTGGGGGCGACGGGCAAAAAAAAGAGGTCCATTGCGCCGACATTGGCGCGTAAACTGCGCGCGTAGGGTCGTGCGTATGCGCCCTCGCTTCCAGTGTAGCTCACCGCGCTGGCGGCCCGGGTAAGCCACCGCGTAAGGTAGCTGCGCCATCTTGCGTAAGACCCGCTTGCTTTCGTCACTCACGTGGGGATCTCAGGTCTCGAAGAAACAAGGAATGAGCATCACACGCGTCCGGAGGACATCCGAAAACCTGTGTTCATGACATGATATTCCTGTTGTCCAGCGTAGTGACAAAAAACTTCAGGGGAGAGTTTGTTTGCGGCCGATTTTGGGCCCCTGGAGTCGTCAAACCACGATCCAGGGCGAACGCAAATTGCCTGGAGTGACAGGAGCTTGCGGCAGGCTCGATTGCTTCGTACACACATCGATGCGCCATTTCTACGTCTATGAAGTGCTGTTTTTCGCATGCTCCCCGCGTGCTATCATATCAGGGAGAATCGGGATATTGCTAACTATGCAACTCGTTTGGTATGCACACACAACGCGCACATGGATGTAATTGACAAGTAGTTGAAGGCCACGGCCAGGCACTTACACCGATCTTGCGCCCTGTGTGAACCCAGAGGGGCTGGTGTAATTGTATTCGCGGCTCTCGTCACCCGAGTCTGGTTTGGCCGGGCCTTTGCTTCTGCCTCGTGCCGCCCTGGTGCGGCTGCCGCGCGGGCGAAGGCGCTCAAGACGCATTCGCTTTCGAACGCCGTCGAGCAGCTTGGCGACTGAAGCCCCAGGGGGTACGCGTGGACCCTACCCCCCGTGCTGCCCGCGCCCGTCGCGGCCCCCGGCCTTCCGCCGCATGCTCATGCGCCAGGCGGCTCGTGGACAAACCTGTGGCTGCTCTCCTCGGAGTCGGGCGTCGCGAGGAAATCGGGAGGGCCCTGTGGCTGGGCGGGGGCAGGAGGAGGAGTGGGAAGTGGATGGGTGAGGAGGAGGAGGGGAGCGACGAGAATGAAGCGGAAGAGGATGACAAGGATAAGGCTGGTGTCTGAGGAAGAGGAGGCAACAAAAACAAGGAGGAGGCGGAGGCGGAAGAGGAGGAGGAAAATGAGGACGAGCAGGGGGAGGAGGCGGTGGAGGCAGAGGAGGAGGAGGCGGAGAACCAGTGTAATCCCAAGACGCATCAACGATGTTACAATCAACCCTCCCTCCAAGCTTCCTGTTCTTATACGGATTTATTTTCATTGCAGTAAATGTGTCATTGGATCATTCCTTTGTAAACCCGGCTAGAACACCATTTCTGGGTTTCCGACCGCGCGCATTCTTGAACACGTAGCAAAAAGTCAAGCGAAAGTGCGAAGCGCTACGGCGAGAGCCACATCTTGGGAAGCAGCAGCCCTTCATGTTTGAAGCCTCCGCAAACTTTTCAGACGAACGCGCGTGGCGCTAAGGTGAGAGCCACATTTTGAAGGCCACCCGCCCCCATCCGTGAAACCGTTGGAATGTTTTAAAGCAAGTGTGGGCGTACAAATGCTGCAAACCTTCAGGACAAAGTTTGTGCGGCGCTACGGCGAGAGCCACATCGTGAAAACGACCCGCCCTCCATCCGCGAAGCTGTTGCACACTTGTAAGACGAATGCTAAGGCGAGAGCCACATCTTGAAACCGACCCGCCTTACATCCGTGAAGCTGTTGTACATGCCAAGCTGTCATAGGTGGTGGGAAAGTCTGAGGCGAAACGCCCGGCCCGCCCTACCAACACGCCTGGGGGTGTAAGAGGGAGGAGCTATTGAATCGCTTCGCTCATTCCGCTGGCCTGTATTGTGCCATCGCTGGTTTGCGGTGTTGCTTGGCGGTGTTTTTTTTCCTGGAGGCGTTACGACAGCAGGCATGGAGGTGAAGTAGTTACATTGGAGCTTGTCGTGGGGGTTCTGGCCTCCTACTGTCCCATCGCCATGCCTGGTTTGTGGGTCAGAGTCCTCGGGGATGCGTTGGGGGTTCTCGTCGGAGCGCTCTCTTGGGCTTCTGGAGAGCAGTTTGGGGGCCTCTTCGGAGCGTCTTGGCAGCGTCTTGGGAGCCACTCGGGGGCCTCTTGGAACTTCTGGGGGCCTCTTGGGGGCCTCTTTCGGGCCTCTTGGGACCTTCTCGGGGCTTCTTGGGGCCGAGGGCTCGGGATGTCCGTTCGGGTCCCCCGTCTGGGCTCCCTCTTGGAGCCGTCTTGGGGCGCCTCTTCAGTCGGCTGTTTTTGGAGGTCTCTTGAGCCGCCTTGGGCCATCTTGCGGCCCTCTTGGAGGCCTCTTGGGCCGTCTTGGGGCGACCCTGTGGACCTCTGGGGCCGTCTTGGAGTGTCGAGAAGCCGAAGAGGCGAGAACCCCCAAATACGGCCAAAACCTAAGGAGTATCAACGGTGTTCGCCTCTTTGAGGCCTCTTGGGAGGGCTCTTGGAGGCCTCTGGGGGCGTCTTGGAGGCCTCTCGGGCTGTCGGGAGGCCATCTCGGGCGTCCTGGTGCGCTCTTCGGACCGTCTCGGGGGCCTCTTGGGGTCCTGTTGGCCCGTCTGGGGGCGGCTCCAGGAGTTCAGGCATCCTTGACCAGAGCGTCCCCTGTGTCCCAGGGCACTTTTCGACCAGGGACCCCCAGGGGCCGCCACGCACGAGCGAACTAGAAACAGTCTAAACCTGTTCGCGGAGATCTTAACACGCCTCTGGCCCGTCGGGCCGGCGAATGTATAAAGAGACGGGATGGAGGAGCAGCAGCGCCAGCAGAAACACCAGGCGGGGTACGCTTAAGGCAAGGTGTTGTTCCACACCATCCTGTGGTGTTGGGTCCTCGTTTTGAAGAGACGGTCCCCGCGTCTCCTCCTTCTCCTCTCGTCCTCCCCCTCCTCCCTCCTCCCCCTCCACAGAGCTCCACGGAAGGACCAGATGCCAGCGTTCGCATGCGTCTTCCGCACCCATTTTGACACACCCCTCACACGTTTCGTGGCCCCACAGGCAGCTCCACCGAAGGCCCAGATGCCTGCGCTCGCATGCGGTCTCCACAGCCATTTTGGCACACCCCTCACACGGTTTCTGGCCCCATAGGGAGCTCCACCGAAGGCCCAGATGCCAGCGCTCGCATGCAGTCTCCTCGCCCATTTTGGCAGACTCACACGTTTTGTGGACCCACAGACAGCTCCACCGAAGGCCCGGATGCTAGCGCTCGCATGCCGCACCCATTTTGGCACACCCCTCACACGTTTCGTGGCTCCATAGGGAGCTCCACCGAAAGCCCAGATGCCAGCGCTCGCATGCGCCCACCGCGCCCATGTTGGCATATACCTCACAAGTTTCGTGGCCCCACAGGAAGCTCCACCGACGGCCCAGATGCCTGCGCTCGCATGTGGTCTCCACCCATTTTCGTACACTCCTCACACGTTTCGTGGCCCCACAGGCAGCTCCACCGAAAGCCCAGATGCCTGCGCTCGCAAGCGGTCTCCGCACCCATTTTCGCACACCCCTCACACGTTTCGTGACCGCACAGGCAGCTCCACCGAAGGCCCAGATGCCAGCGCTCGCATGCGGTCTCCGCACCCATTGTCGCACACTCCTCTTCTTTTCGTGGCCCCACAGGGACTTCCACCGAAAGCGCAGATGCCAGCGCCATTTTGGCACACCCCTCACACGTTTCGTGGCCCCACCGGAAGCTCCACCAAAGGCCCAGATGCCAGCGCTCGCATGCGGTCTCGGCACCCATTCTGGCACACCCCTCACACGTCTCGTGGTTCCATAGGGAGCTCCACCGAAGGCCCAGATGCCTGCGCTCTCATGCGCCCACCGCGCCCATTGCGGTACACCCCTCGCACGTTTCGTGGCCCCATAGGGAGGTCCACCGACGGCCCAAATGCCGGTACTATCATGCGGTCTCCGCACCCATGTTGGCACACCCCTCACACGCTTCGTGGCCTCATAGGGAGCTCCACCGCATGCGGTACATACAACGACGGTGCCCACAACTGCATATGGTTGGGTCTTTCGCCAGGTTATTTGTTCCTCCACGGGTTGGCGACGTCGAAAAGAATTCAGTCGATTCCGTGGACATTCGCGCGTATTCTCCCTGCGTAAGATGGCGCGTAAGCGCCCACGTTTCCAACATGGCGTGCCGCGTTGCCAGCCCGCCTAAGCCGTGGCGTCGGGGCGTGGCGTCGGGCCGCTGCGTCTTCTGGAGTGGGGCCCCTTTCTTGTCGCCGCTCAGGTGGCGCTGCGGCGGAAGCTGCTGTGGGCCAATCAGACCGCAAAGGCGATGAAGCGCGACCGCGTCGAGAAGAAGGTGGAGCAGTTCCGGCAGGCGCTCGGGGCCGAGCCGCCCGCCTCGGACGACGAGCCCGCGTGCCCGCTGAGCCTGCTGGAGGGCCTGGCCGACGGCATCCCGCTGCCAATCTACCCGAAGCTGTCACTGATCAAGATCTTTGCCGAGCAGTGCTCCCTGCTCAAGTCGGCCATGCTCCCGGGTGTGCTGGCTTGCCAGGTTCAGCCCACGGGGGACCACAAGGGAGAGAAGCAGCTGAAGAAGATCATGATCAAGGACGGCGGCCTTGAATGCAGCACCTGCGCATTGAAGAATTGTCTCGGGGACCTGGGCCATATTCGGGCTTTGGTCTGGCATGTCAGCCGAGTTTGACAGTTGAAGCAGCCGTGCCTCTGCCCGAGTATGGCTTATAGCCTTGTTACGATCCTTTCGTTAGCAGTCCTGTATGTCTCAGCCTGTGCAGGAGGGCGACGACTTGCGGCAAGATCAGCTTATACTCCAGCTCATCATCCTCATGGACTCGATCTTGAAAAAATATGGTCTTGACTTGCAGCTCAGCCCATACTCTGTAATTGCTCTGTCGCAGACCGATGGGTTCATCGAGATGGTGCCAGATTCCTCGAACTTGTCGGCGATTCTGACCGATCACAATTACGATGTCATGCAGTTCTTTCGCACACACCACCCCCTAGAACAGAACAAGGGAGTTCACGCCACCGGAGATGGGGGGTTCGGCCCCCAAAATTCGTACGGCATCAAGCCTGAGGTTTTAGACAATTTCATAAAGAGTTGTGCGGGATACTGTGTGATCACCTACATCCTCGGAATTGGCGACAGGCACCTCGACAACCTGATGGTCACGCGCGACGGGCGACTATTCCACATAGATTTCGGATTCATACTTGGGAAGGACCCTAAGCCGTTGCCTCCACCGATGCGAATTTGCAAAGAGATGGTCGAGGGTATGGGTGGGTTCGACTCCCCCGGTTATGCGTCGTTCAAGTCAAAATGCTGCCAGGCATACAATATTCTGCGACGGCACGCGAAGCTCATCATCAACTTGCTGTACCTGATGAGTGATTCTGGGATCAAAGACCTCTGTGGTGACCCGCAGTTCGCGATCCTGAAGGTGGAGGAGAAGTTCCAAGCGCTCATGGACGACGAGCAGGCTTCATCCTTCTCGTTGTCATCATCATCAGGCATCAGGCGCCTTGATTTTTCGCTGCGTGGACCCCCCGACCTCGGGTCGTTGCCTGACGGCCCCGAGGCCCGAAACCCGCCAGCGGAGGCCAGACATGGCGGCATGTTTGCCGCCTCGATTGGTTGTTCGATGCGCCAGATGTCTGGGTCGCAGCCCTCACCAGCTGGACGTGAGCGTGACTGTGGCCCTTCGCTGTCGCGACCTTTGGTGCGCGTTTTCGGGAGGCGCGCGGGGGCCAGACCCCAGCTCTCGGACCGCCAGTGCCGCATCGCGTCCAGGGATCGGCGAGCCGCGCAGAAAGGTCAATCTTGCATAGGGCCACTCCTGGAGCGCGTGGAGCCGACTCCTCGTCCTCCTCGTGCCCATGCAGGCCGTCACGGACCTTCCTCTTCAGACGGTCCCGCTTGGGCCAGGGGTCGCCCCCCCAGCGGGGTCGCAGGTGCCCGACGTGGCAGTGCGAAGTTCAGTTACCTCGTGCCATATTTGATTGCGACGAGCTGCCCTGGAGCGTCCCCCTCCCCCCAGCAGTGGACCGCGGCCGTCCTGTTCCGCTCCCCCCCCCCAAGGCGGAGGCGCACTTCAAGGGCCTGATCGACGCCTCGGTCGGCGCCCTCTTCCCCGCCCTCATGGAGAGGCTGCACAAGCTGTCCGTCGCGCTGAAGTGAAGCGCCGCGCCCGCCCACAATGAGCACCGTGCCACCGTTCCCATCTCCACGGAGCCATGCTGTCTCCAGCCCCGCCAGCCCAGCCCCCCACGTGAAGACAGGCCCCGCGATTTCCGAAGGGAACAGCATACGTCCCCAACTGCGGGGGGGAACACAGACGTCCGATGTTTTGTTATTTCAGTGCGAGCACGCCAGAGGTCCACACCCTCCCTTTCCCCATGACCAGTTTCTCATCCCGAGTCGTTCTTTGATGCTCCCGGGGCCCAGCGAGGCCCCGTGAAGGCCGAGCACACACCCTTCCGTCGGGCTTCTTTCGCGACGCCAGGTGTTGCTTGGGAGCCAGTCAGCGGGACCAAAGCCATGCCAGCGTGGACGGGGAGCGGTTCAGCGATGCTCGCCTTGCCCCCGCGCAGCGGCGTAGCACAGGCGCGACCTCCGCCGCGGGTGTGCGCGCAAGGACGGGCGGCGGCGCCCCGTGCCCGGCGAGCGCTGCGCGGCCAGGAGGGGGCGCGGCGCCGGGCCAGGGAGGGGCGCGAGGCGACCACATGCACGTAGCAGAGCGACCCTCTGCCGGAGGGACCAGTGGTGCGGGCTCACAGCGGTCCCCCGATCGCCGAGCGTGGTTCGGCAGCAGCGTCTCGCGCGCTGGTGCCTGGCCCCCCGCGGCCCCGCAAAAACTGCGCACCAACGGTCACTCTTACCCAGGGTCACTTCTGCGTGTAGCCGATCGAGGATCGAGGGTCGAGGGTTGTCTCAGAGGAGGGCGAGTTGGGACATCGATAGTTGGCCTTCGTCGGGCCCCTCGTCGCCACGGCTTGACGCAGCTCGGAAAACTGCTGCGTTTGGACCTGGGAGCGGTCTGGGGACCGATGTTTAGGACCGATTTTGAGCTGCCGTTGTCCGAACTCCCAGACATGCTCACGGTGATCACGTCGTGGACAAGAACACAGCTGGTTTTAGCCGTTCTCTTCCTCTGGGTGTCCTCGTCGTGCCCCAGGACCGTCGAACACGGATTCGAGATGAAACCCCTGGTTTGGGCAAAGGGTCGGGTCTGGGCGGGACTTCGTGCTGAAAAAACAAAACGTCGGATGTCCTGGGGAGGGCCTCCAGAACGGTTCTCTGCATTTTCCATGGGTTCTCAGCACCTGGGGTGGTGTTCATCAGCCGCGCCTCGTCGAGAGCGTTCTGGGGATGCGAGCATTGTCCAAAACGGCCGCCTGAGTCCCGCGGTGGGGCCTGAAAGCCGGATGGCTGGACGCAAGGGGTACCAGCGCTGAACTGGCTTCAGTGAATCCCTTTCGATCCTTTCTGGCCGACCTGGGGTCAAGAGCCACGTGGAGCCGACACCCGTTCCCGATCCTCCGCTGACATGGGTGTGGGAGCCACTTCGAGCTTGGCCCAGATTTGCGACATTCCCACAGCGAGCAGGGTGGGGTATGGGGGAGGGGGGAAGGCTTTGGAGAAGCGCCCGGCTTCTCAGAAGGCGCGGGCCTTGACTATAGATGTAGGGCTGGCGCCTTCTAAGAGGCGGCCTCCTTCTAAAAAGCCGTCCCCCTCCCTCTACCCCTTTCCCGCAGCCATGTTGGCCCAAGGCGAGTGTGTCTGAGCTTGTAGCAGCATGCTTCTTTGAAGCGGCCAAGCGCTGTTGCGGTCCTTTGGCCCATTGCTTTCAGGACTTTGCGATCTCCTGATGGAGCTTACATACTTCAGAGCGCTCCCGAGGGAGCAGACATGGATGACGTCGTACAGGGGCCGCGAATGCCCCTGCGGGGCTGCCAGGCGTGCGGGCTCACGTCCAACCGGGCGTGCAGACTGCGGTGTCGCTGCGGCACGAAGGCCCCGAAGCACGTGCTGGACAGGGCCAAGACTTTTCGCCAGCGCGGACGCTCGTGGCGGTCCTCTTGCTCGTGCTGCTGAGCCCATGGGTGCACGTCAGAACGGCAAACTTGAGCAGCAACGAGCGCCTCGACAAGTTGGTGCAGAAGCAGCCCCAGCCAACCAAGTCCAACGGTGTCGGAACCGAGTCCGACGGGGTCGGAAACGGACAGGGCTGGTGGGGTGGTTGAAGCGGTGGCACGGCTCAGGCCGACAAAGCTGCAGATGTTGATGACGATCCCTTGGTGGCCTGGGCTTCCGAGCTCGGGATGGCCAACAAGGCGTACGGCACGGACCACATGCCAACGGCCAGAAACATATGGGTCACCCAGTTGCGCGACGTGCGCGCCAAGCTGGAACCCCAAAAGTCAGACATCACCCAGCACACCAGAGGAAGTGCGAGTTCAGACTGATACGGTACAGGTGGCCACGGCGACGCGTGACGATCTGGAAAGCAAACCTCGGGCTGCGGAGGTTGAGGTGGGGACTCTCACATTGCAGTTGGTGGACTGTCTTCCGGAAGGTGTTGCTGTTTAGCCTCCTCGGGTGGACCTCCGTTTTTTTGAGGCACCATCGGACTTGTTCGAAGGCAAGGACGACAACAAGGCGATACTCGAATCCAAAGCTTGCAAGGATTACGCGGCGATGCTCGCACAGGCCAAATCTCAACAAGCGAACAGTAGCAGTAGGTAGTGGTTATAATGACGCTGGTGCTAGGGACGGTGACAAGGACGTTGTTATGCACAGTGATTTTGCCGACCGTGGTGACAAGAGGGTCATCTGCGAGGCCTTGGCGTCGGGCTTCTTCAAGCGCGCCAGGACTTCCTCTTGACGTTGTCTGCGATGCTGCGTTGCCTGTGCCGAAGGCGTTCTTTGAGAAGGTCCAGGTGTGTTGTGGGCTTGGCCATGCTCATGCTCCAATGCCTAGCTTTCATGGCCCCAGGGCCGCGTTTCGGTCGTCCCCGGGTGGGGCCTTTCAAAGCGCCGTTGTTGCGTCCCCTTGTCTCCACGCTGCGTCTAACGCGGCTCGAAAATCGACGGTCAGGGGCGAAGTGGGTGATAGTGCCGAGGCGCCCAGGAGGGCCCGAGCGCGTGACCCCGCTTGGACGGTGGGCACGCCAAGTCAGGCATGCCTCTGCGTCCTGGTTTTTGAATTTCTCAGTTTGATTCGGGCTGTCCCCCGCCGCCAGTTCGTCCCAATGTCGAAGCTTTACTGGGCCAGGCTTTCGAGAGCTATAGTGGCAACGATTGGGGCACCATAGAGAAACGACTGGCCCGATTAGATGCTCTTGGTGATGTGTGCCGAAGACATAAGGGGTGACGGAAGAGACGCGGGGTGAGACGCCAGCCGAGGAGCCAGGCTTGGGCTGGCACGCGCTCTGCTCACAGTCTAATGTCTGGACGGGAGGTCGAACGTCGGCTGGGGTGGCGACTTTCGCGCGAACGACAGTTCGGTTGAGATGGCCTGAATTTCTGGCTCGTGGTGAAGCCGCCCCATGTAGGCTCATCGTATTCGAAATCGATGTAGTACAATGGCCGACGTGGGTAGGTGCGGCGTGCGCGTATATCTATGTTACTTAATCGCTTCGCTCATTCCGCCGGCCCTGGAGCGCTATTTGGGGCCTCTTGGGGCCGTCTTGGAGGCCTCCTGTGGGCTTTTTGGGAGCGTCTTGGGGCCCCTTGGGGCGGGAGGGGGGGTAGTCGATTGCAGCCACCCCCTCGGAGGCCACGATCCTCGTGGAGGGTGGCGAAAAATAGCTTTCCCCCTGGGGATCGCCCGGGACCTGGCCGGGGATCAGCCGGGGTACTTTTCGTCCGGGGGCCCCAAGGGCCCGCCCCGCGCGCGCGAACTAGGAATATTGCTAAGTAGTTACCGGAGATCTTAGCACGCCTCTGGCCCGTTTGGCTGGGTTGGTGCGGCGTGCGCATACCTATGTTATTTTGAAGGTTTATCAAAACGTAATCTGGAATCCTGAAGAAGGCGGGTGGAGTCTTCGAGGGGACCCGTCGGGTTACCATGGTGGCTTATTGGATTATGTCATCGTTTTGCCTTGACATGTTGGGACTCCTTCGGGAAGCTGGAACGGTCACTCTCAAGTCCTCGTCGGAGGTATGTGCCACGGCCGCAACGAACCCCTTTCATCGGTCACTTCGTGCTGCCGCCCACGGTGGCGAATTTGGTCGACCAGACCGTCGCCGCCGGACCTGGTGTCGCCGTCCGCACAAACTGGCGTTGTTGAGGTTCCAGGTAGGTGTTAGAGGGATTCAACAACTTGTGCACGAATCCCATCGCAGGCTCCCCAAGGAACTCCCCTGCGGGCCCTCTAGAGAGCCTCCTGGTTGGGGCGTGGTGCGTAGCGTGGCAGAGGACGCCGACGGGTCGGCCAGTCCTGATGTTGTCCACCGTGCCTGGGAGTTGCTCTCGGCCGCGTGGGAAACGTCTTCGGTTGTTATGGCGGTGGAGCTCGAAGGCAAGCTGGATAGGACCACGAGGTGCCCCCGTCTCCGGCTAAGAGGATGTCGTATTTCACCCAACCGAAGGAAAGGTTTCGGAAGGGTGGATCTGGTTTTGGAAGGGTGGATCCGGTTCCGGCAGAACCTTCGAGACCCCCAGCACACTCGTGTGCGGGCCCGCGAACACCGCGAGCTGATTGACCATCTTGGCGCGCAGGCCGTCATCTTCGACATCTGCGGCGCCCCCTAGCAACCCTGCAACGGCGAGGGCCTCTCAACGCGGTTGGGCGCCACCGCGCAGGCGGCCAGGCGGCTCATGGCGTCTTTCCCTCAGGATGGGAACCTGTCGAGTTTGCTCGAGCGACTCATTCGGGCGCTCGACGATTGGCTGGGAGATTCCGATGTATGCGGACGATCGTTGAAACGGCCCCCGATGTTTTGTTCTGTCCGGCTGACCCGCGTAAGTTGTCAGCGATTGAAGCCAGCGCGTTAGGTTCTTAATGGCAGGCGCCCCCGTGCCCCGAGTTTCTTGATTCAATGGCACTACAAACGCCCCTACCGTGTTTAACGAGGCGGTGTGCGCTGAAACTCTTGTGGGCTGACAGGGCAAACCCTGCGTGATGTGCGGCGTCCTGGCGGCTCTCTAGGCTTTGGGGGTTCCCAGGAGGTTTACAGACCACGCACTTGTAACCCAGGGTAGGGTCGTTTTTTCATCCCTCAATTGAAGCGATGGATGGGGGCTGTTTCGAGCGCGTGAGGCCCGATGATATCCGCGGTGGTCGCCACGCCTTCAGCCCGCGCGACGCCCAGAGTATGGGTGGTCTCCATGTCGGCACTACGGGGCGCGCTGCGACGCTGGCCTTGAGGCCCTTGCGTGCATCTTCTAGTCTGCGGAATAGAGAACTGTTGACCTTAAGGCGGTGTGCTGGACGCTTCTTCTCCTCCTGGAATACCCGAGGGTGGTTTGACGCCTGCGTTGTTGCGCGTGGCCCTCGTGGGGCCCCGGGGAAAAGTTCGATATTCAAACCCTCGCGGTTTTGACGAGCAGCGCTTTCGCAGGCGCTGGGCCGCGGGGTTTGGCAAGTCGGCGGGTGGCATCTAGTGCCGGGCTGTCAAGGCGGAAGTCAGTGGCGGATGGTGGGGTCCATGTTGGGTTCTCTTGGGACGGGTCCCTGTGCTGCGAGGGTTTACGACTTGCCGCCCTCATGGATCGCCGTCTCGCGGGTGGGTTGCCCCCCGCGATGGCCAAAGTCAGTTTCAATGTTTGGTGAGGGCCGCGGGTGCTTAGGCTTGGCACGGGCCGCCGCCCAGCGCCGCTGCGCGCCGAGCGCGGGGTCGCCTGC